GGAGGGAAGGAAAAGGACACACTCCAATTTAAAACTTTAAAACTTATTGCTATGGAAATCATCTAGGGTGGAGTGAGTGGGTGGCCGAAGGCCCCCCCACCGTGTTCTTGGGCGTCTGGGTGAGGAGGCAATGGGACTTGGGGAGGAGGGCTGCTGGTTACAGAGGGGCTGTAGCGGCGGTCTCTGCTCCTGCTGCCTTTCCTGCAGCTCAACCATACGCAGGAGCATATCACTTTGATGCTCCAGCAGCCGGAGCATCGACTCTTGTTTTCTGAGTACAAGTTGACGCCACCTCTCCTCTTCAGCCCGCGTTTCAGCACGCAACTTCTCCTCTTCAGCCCGCGATTCAGCACGCCACCTCTCCTCTCGCTCATATTGGGCTTTTTTAAAATCAGTCATTGACTGCCTCCACGCATTCAGCTGTGCTCTGTCAGCGTGGGAGGCAGTCTGAAGTTCAGTAAACATTTCGTCACGCGTCCTTCGCTTCCTTCTTCGAATATTCACTAGCCTCTGCGAAGGAGTAAGATTTGCAGCTGGTGGAGAAGGGAGAGGTTGTTAAAAAAGATACATTTTAGAGAACAATGGGTAGACTCTTTCACGTTAGATTTTGCTGTTCACAACATCACACAGCACATGTGCTTTCATTACAAGGTCGCATTTTTCCTCTTATATTGAGAGTCTCCTGGTTTGGTGTGAGAGATCACTCACGCAGTGCCAGGACACAGATTTCAGCTTGCAGGCAGCCATGGTAAGACATACAGTCTTTGGGCTTTTTTAACCTTCTTAACATGTGGGGATGGTTTCAAACAGTTCTGCCCTCATTTCCCATACCAAGCACCCGTGCCATTTAAAATGGGTTTGCAATGTAAAAGGAGGGGCTGCGATTTCAGGTTTAACATGCAGCACAAACCCAACTAACTCCCCTCCCCCACACACCCAATTCTCTGGGATGGTCACTTCAACCCTCCCCCCCACCGCGTGGTTAACAGCGGGGAATATTTCTGTTCAGCAGAGCAGGAAGGGGCACCTCTGAATGTCCCCTTAATAAAATTGCCCCATTTTAACCAGGTGACCGTGAATGATATCACTCTCCTGAGGATAACAAAGAGCGATAAGGAATGGATGTTGTCTGCATGCCAGCAAACACCGGGACCATACGCTGCCATGCTTTGTTATGCAATGATTCCAGACTACGTGCTACTGGCCTGGCGTGGTAAAGTGTCCTACCATGGCGGACAGGATAAGGCAGCCCTCCCCAGAAACCTTTTGCAAAGGCTTTGGGAGTACATGAAGGAGAGCTTTCTGGAGATGTCCCTGGAGGATTTCCGCTCCATCCCCATACACGTTAACAGACTTTTCCAGTAGCTGTACTGGCCGCGATTGCCAGGGCAAATTAATCATTAAACACGCTTGTTTTTAAACCATGTGTAATTTTTGCAAAGGTACACTCACCAGAGGTCCCCTGTGTGCCCTCAGGGTCTTGGGTGAGTTCGGGGGTTACTGTTTCCAGGTCCAGGGTGACAAACATATCCTGGCTGTTGGGGTAACTGGTTTCTCCGCTTCCTTGCTGCTGTGAGCTATCTATGTTCTCTCCATCCTCATCTTCCTCGTCCGCCGAACCCGCTTCCCCGTTTCCAGAGAGGGACTGATAGCACACGCTTGGGCTAGTGGTGGCTGCACCCCCTAGAATGGCATGCAGCTCCGCGTAGTAGCGGCATGTTTGCGGCTCAGCCCCGGACCTTCCGTTTGCGTCTCTGACTTTGTGGTAGGCTTGCCTTAGCTCCTTAATTTTCACGCGGCACTGCTGTGCGTCCCTGTTATGGCCTCTGTCCTTCATGGCCTTGGAGATCTTTTCTAATGTTTTGCCGTTTCTTTTACTGTTTCGGAGTTCGGCGAGCACTGCTTCATCTCCCCAGATGGCGATCAGATCCCGTACCTCCCGCTCGGTCCAGGCTGGAGCTCTTCTGCGATCCTGGGACTGGGACTGGGACTCCATCATGGTTACCTGTGCTGATGGGCTCTGCATGGTCACCTGTGCTCTCCACGCTGAGCAAACAGGAAATGAAATTCAAACGTTCGCGGGGCTTTTCCTGTCTACCTGGCCAGTGCATCTGAGATGAGAGTGCTGTCCAGAGCGGTCACAATGAAGCACTGTGGGATAGCTCCCGGAGGCCAATAATGTCGAATTCCGTCCACACTAACCCAATTCCGACCCCCTAAGGCCGATTTTATCGCTAATCCCCTTGTCGAGGTGGTGTTAGGAAACCGGTTTAAAGGGCCCTTTAAGTCGACAGAAAGGGCTTCGTAGTGTAAACGTGTCCAGGCTTAAGTCGATTTAACGCGGCTAAAGTCGACCTAAACTCGTAGTGTAGACCAGGCGCAAGTTCTGTAGTTGGGCTGATACTCTGGAGCAGTGGTCCCCAAACCGCCAGACGATGAGCCGCAGCAGACGAGCATCCGCCAAAATGCCGCCGACAAGAGGCAACGTCAATAGGTGTCGCTGCTGAAATACCGCCGACAAGCAGCATCATCCAGAGGCATCACCACTGAAATGCCGCCGAAGATCAGTGGCATTTTCGCGGCAATGCCTCTGGAACACGCTGCTTCTCAGCGGCATTTTGGCAGATGCTCGTCCGCTGGCCAGTATGTGGGGCACCGCGTTGGGAACCCCTGCTCTGGAAAGTTCCCTGGTGGGAACCAGCTGGGCAAAGGCTGAACAGTGACTGGGTTCAGGGTCTATGTTCACCTAAAGAGTCTGGCGCAGGCTCCCTGTTCTAGCTGCTGAAATCATTGTAAAAGCCCCAGAACAGCTGAGTGGTGGCAGCGTTAGGTTTAAGGTCCAATGGACGTGTCCCTGCACAGGTTTAAACCCAGTTCTGAAATCATCATAGCAGGACAGGGGTAGAGCCCCAGGGACCCTGATTTCCTGGATTCCTGCAGCCACAAACTGTGAGTGAGGGGCTGGGAGGCAGAACAAACTGTGTCAGCAACTCAGGGGCAATTGGTCGGGGCTGTGACAGATGCGCCCTGAGACAGTAGATGGGGGAAGGTGTTGAACAGTAAAGGTTTGTCCCAGCTCACCCCGTCCTTCCTCTTTCCTCCGCCAACAAAGTTCTTCTGTTTAACCCGCTGGTGACTGTGCTGGCGAGTGCGTGAAGATTTGCCCAGCAAAGATGCCCAGAGCGGATACAGGTTCCCAGATTACTGGGAGGGGGCTCGAGACACAGTTAAGGAACTGTAGAGAATCCCCTAAGGTAAAGACCCGACCCTTGTTGCTGGTGACGCTGCTGCTTCAGGGTTTCGCTTCTTCTCCTCACAAACACCCTACGGCTGCATTCCCCCCCCTCGTTAAACCCCCCAATTAGTGACACTCGGAGGGAAGAGCTCCTGTCTAGTCAGAGCAATGCCCTTAAATCATCGACATTTAGCAATGGTGAAATTCAGAGACATGGGCTCTTAGTCCAGATTAAATGCAAGTTTATTATAACTGAAATATTAAATCATTTCTACAAGACAAGAGGGGCCCGTTCTGGGGGTGTGAAAGGATCGCAGAACCGGACCTCTAATCATTATGAAAACAAAAGCAACAAATCAATGGGTTATTGAGGAAGACAGAGGCTGAGGCACTGGCTATACATATGGCCAAACCAGCCGCAATGTATCGAAGTCTCCAATTGCTCAGATGAATTGTTCAATCATCGGCTCTTCTAATAAACTACAGAATAGGCTCCCACTGAGAATAGCAAATCAAGGAGCAATAGATGTACATAAACTCAGCATCAAACACTAGAGCCTCTCTCCACACGAACTCACCAGCCGTGAATGGGAGAACAGCCCAGAGTATAAGTGATAGCTGCCACTCAGCCAGGTAATTATCAAGCATCCAACATGGGTTTATCCGCGACACATCTTGACCCTTCTCCGTTTCAATCCAGGGCCATTCACAGGGTTAATAGCACAGCCAGACACAGGTGCTTCTCTGGACAAATCTACCTTTGCATAAGGGGCTGGTTAAACCTATGAGCGCAGAGACAGAATTACAAGGATCAGTCTCAGCATTTCTTAATCTATTCTTGTCTCACAGGAGAACCTAAGACCCCCTCAGGAGACAGCCCTGTTGCGCTAGGTGCTGTACAGACACAGAAGAAAAGGACGGGCCCTGCCCCCGAGAGCGACAGTCGAAGACTAGACCCAGCAGGCGGGTGCTCCAGGCAGACTGGGGAGCACACGGGAGCAGGGAGATGGTTGGGATAACGCAATGAGCAGCGCTCCCAGAGCTCCGGCCGTGGGCCATTGTCGAGTGATCCGGAGGCTCCATGGCCGGGGCGAGGCTGAAGGAGGCGTTCACAGGAGGTCAGTCCGGGGGCTCTGTGGGAGGTTACAGGCGGCTCCTCCCCGGACAGGGGCAGCCTGGGGGAAAGTGCAACAGCGTCTATGCTAAAAAGCCTGTTTCATTTGCCTTGGGCCCTGCAGTGACAAGGGAGGGGTTGGCACCGGGGGGGTTGGCACCCAAGTCACGTCAGGATTTAGGGCTTTTACGAGTGTGTCTGAGTGAATTTGCCCAGGCTGCAATTTCAGGGCAACGGGAACCAAGTAGTGGAAAATCTGCGGCTAGAACGAGTCATTGTTGGTGTCGCTCTCTGTCGTTTCCCAGTGAAGAGTTCAATGGGCTCTGCCATGGCCCTGCTCTCGGCTGGGGCCTGAAATAACCATTCCCTGAGTTCCCTGCAGAGAGCGTGAGGCACTGGGGACCCTGGGGAGCTTTATCACAACTTGGCCTCCTTCGCTGGGGAAATAAACTAAAAACAAAGAACAGGGTCAGTCAGGATCCCCGCCCCTCCCCCCCTTTTGTGGCAATATGTTATGGTGGGTGGGAGACCTCCGTGGAAATGGAGCTCAGAGCTCAGTTATGGTGAAGTTTCACACCTGATGCAGAAAAGCAGCAATTTCATGAGACTTCCCACAGCTTTGAGCTCCGAGCTCCAGCTGGGACAGGGTCTTTACTTTGATCCTTTCAGCCACATGTTGACATTTCTTCCTTTCAGGGGGTGCGGGTGTTTTTTGTGTGGCATCTCTGAGTTCGAAATGGCTCCCTTCATAACCACCTCCAGAACTCGTAGAGCGTCAGCAGCAACATCATCCAGGAAATTCTGCAACATGATCTTTGTGGTAGGGAGAGCAACTGCTGCAGCTGCCACAGAACCTACCACAGCACCTACCACAGGTATAAATTTTAATAAAATTGTTGAGTATTGCACTGCCCCAGTTCCGCACTTGGTCAGTAGCGTAATTACAAGATCTTTTGTTATTTCCTCACTCAGTGGGGACTTTATAACGGCCTTCAGCTCTGCAATGGGAATCTTAGTCCGTTTAGAAAGTGCAGAGAGAGACTTTTCATCAAGGCCGAAATCCCTGCAGAACCCTTTCAGGGATGTCACCAGCATGGCAACATCACAAACAGTGGAGAGACCAGGGATAGGAACAGCAGCGATACCGCATGACACCAGACTCTTCAGCCATATCTGCGTTTGCAGTTGTTCTTTTTTCTTCTCCAAGGTTTCTTTAGAAACATGGGACAGGGATCGTAGGAGAATGAGTTTCTTGTGACTGGGGAGCTCATTCACTAGCGTTTCCTGCAATTTGGGAAAATCGAACTTGCCTAAGTCCCATCTAGTTACAAGAAAAATCCGTGGGGAGGCCACCCCTCCTGTTTTAAGGCCTTTGATGCAGTCCTCTCTGATGACATCGAGGATCGCACTCTCACTGTACGGAGGTGGCCTATTCGTGGGGGCATTGCTCTGCTCTAGGATTCCCTCCTCATCATACATTTTTTTCTCATTTGCCAAATCCTGATCCACCTTGGAGCGCACAAAGTAAAACTTCTTCCCCAGTTTCTGGATCTCCTGGGCGAGTTGAATGTCGTGGGATATGAAGCGGGTGCAGGAGATGATGATGAAAAAGTCGTAGCGACTGAACTCCACCTCCTTGAGGTACGTGTGTGGTTTAAATGTTGGGGTCCCGATCCCTGGCAGATCCCAGACTGTTACATTTGGGTAGCTAGGATGTGAGTAATCAAGGAGCTTCATTGTCGTTTCAGTGACCCCTATCGCAGTAGCACCTTTATCTCTATCCTTCAGGCCCCGGATGGCGTTGACAAAGGACGATTTTCCAGAGCCCGACTCCCCCGTGACAGCAATGTTGAGAGTGATTTTATCAGCCGTCTCCAGAGCCTCTTTCACTTTAACAGATGCTTCGGTGAGGTTTCCTTCCCCAAAAGCAGCTTTCAGTGCTTCGATATCCTCTTCAGGTATCTTGGGAAGCTCTTTAGCATCTACCCCAGCCATGGCAGCTCCAGTGCTCTGCTCAGTCTGCCTGCAAAAAGACAATGAGATATTCCATGTACGGTTAGTTTAGACAGAAGATAGATGACAGCTCACATGTGAAAGTCCAGTGGGAGTTTGGGCAGGAAATGGGAAAGGTGGAGTTACGGTGACACTTTCCACTCAGCTCAAGCACATAACCTTAACTCTGCCCCCATAAGAATGCCAGGAGAGACACTCCTCTGTTTTTCTGGGGACGGAAGGGCCCACACAACGTGTGACAAGTGAAATCCCAGAAAAGGAATAGTATTTTCCCAACAGGAAGCCAAAGAATTTCCTTAGAGAAATAAGAAGATTTCCATAAAGTGCTTGGAATGATTAATGGCTCCCAATCATCCTGCTGGGGCTTCTCCCCCCTTGCAGATCTCAGCAAGTCCACAGGGAAGGGAGGAAGAACCCCAGACCCCTCAAGCCTTCTGCTCTCTACACAATCTCTAGCCCTTCTTCCCACCTTTGACCTAGAGCAGGAGTCTCTTCCTAGAGCTTCCAGGAGAGCCAGAGCGGGTGGGAGAGGGGACTGGGTGACTATCAGGGGCTTGGAAGAAGGAGGGGCATTTTCCTCCCTTCCTGTGACCCTGTGTGCATGATGGGAGAGCCCCCACTGGGCCTCAGGCTCATTAGTTCTAGCAGTGTCTGCACTGGGGCTTTGGTCGGCTTCAGTATATCACACAGGATGTGAAATTTTTCACAGCCCTGAGCGATGTAATTAGGTCGACCTAACTCTGCAGTGTAGACCATCTCTTAGTGGAAGCAGAGGGACAGAGTTTCTTGGGCACAGAGCCCACTGGAGGGCAGGCGTGGGGATTTTGGAGCGAGGAAACTGCCTGTGACTGTTTATGCTGTGTTCAGAAACCACAACTATGTGTGCACTCTGTGCAAATAAACGAGATCACACCAAGACCAGACCTGACTTGTGTCTTCGATTTCTCCTCCTAATGCAACTAGCCCTGCAAATAATGGTGAACCCCATAGCCCCAAGAGGCAACAGTATTAAGTGAGACTTTCATTTTAACAATCTCCCTCTTTCATTCCCTGTGGCTGTAGAGAGTCTTTTATGGAGAACCCCCTGCTTGCCGGTCTGTAGGATGGCGTCAGAGATGGTATGAATTGTCCTTTTGGGGAAAGAGGGAAAGTTCGTTTAGACGAGCTGGAGCAGCTGCTGCTGTTGATGTTGTCACAGGCTGATCCTGCTTAAGGCAAATCCAGACAAAAACACACAAAGGAGGAGAGGAAAGAGCAGCAAAGGGAGAAAATGCAGCTTCTGTCCCTGGGGCTGACTCTCACTTGCAGCCTCATGGCTGGAGAAACACAGGCCCAGCCCATGGTCTGACCAGCCACGCCCACACCTGGCAAACTCATGCTGGCATCTGGCTGTTTAAGGCCTCGCTTTAGCTGCCTTATTGGTCACAGGCTCACAGCCCATGTGCAAAGGGTAGAATTGTCTTGGCCAGTGTAGCTGAATCCATAGCAGACAGAGGCCTTAGCCCAGCTCTTTTACCTCCCTCAGTCCAGGCTAATTCCCCACTCTGGCACTTCGAGTGCAGAAGGTGGGGCTCACAAGGATTCTAAAAATTAACACTGGCCACTCCAGGCTCGTATTGAACTCCCAAGGTTTCAGCTTCTCTGTGACCTTGGATGGGTAGATGCTGCCATGACCCGAGTGCAAAAAACGCCTTTGAACCCAGGGAGGAACACTTGGGAATTTCTCCCTGTGGGGTGCCCTCAAGCCCTTTCACCCCCCTCCGGGGAAGAGCTCAGACAGAAAACAAAGGAAATAGCTGTTGCCAGCAGCTACTTAAACAACATGTGCACAAACCTCTTAGGACACCAAAAACCCAATCCTGTTCTTAAAAAGGTAAATTTTATTAAAAACAAAAAGAACGAAAATACATGTGGAACTTAGGCTTTTGCTAGATTTAAAAAACCCACGTACAAAAATTAAACATCAGGAATAATCTTCTTGAGGTCCAACTTAATGGTTACAAGCAAAACGAAAGCATCTGGGGTTAGCACAGAGGAGTCCACAAGCCTTAGAGAAATAAAGGAAATAACCCTAATCACGTCTTTCTAGACACTTCCTGATCCACTTACATATCTGGGGGGTTTCAAATAAGTAGTTCTAGGTATGATCTGATGATTTTCATATCTGGCTTAGAGCGTCTTACAGCATCACTGCTCTGTGTCTCCTCTCTCCCGAGAACAACCACAGACAGAAAAAGGGAAAGTTTTTTTCACAATTTAAAAAATTTCTAGCCCTCCCATTGGCTCTTTTGTTCAGGTGCCCACTCCCTTTCTTTTACCTGTGGACTTTTTAAACCCTTTACAGGTAAAGCAAGTAGAGAGCAGCTATGAACAGGGATTTTAGAGCTAACTGGCTGGATCCATAAAAGGGAGCTTCCCCCACACTTCATTTATCACAGTTGATCTCTCACTTTGCTGACTTTTGCCGTTTGTGTAACAGGCTAATTTGGCCTTTTGTTACCTTGGACGCACCACACTGTGCCATTGGGGCCAGCGCTGATGGCCGGGGGACAGTGCCCCCTACTGAGCACAGTGACCCCCTAGCGCCATAGTGGGGCATTGGGGCCAGCACAGACTCTGAGGGGAAAGCACCCTTACTATAAATCCCGCCCCACTCCTTGCAGCACAGCGTTGTCTGTCGAGCTCCCTGCCCCACTCCCGGCACTACGGCACCCCCCCGACAAGCCCCTGCCCCACTCCCTGCAGCACAGTGCCCTGTACTGAGTCCCCCCGCCCTCCTCCTTGAAGCATGGCACCCCTTGCTGAGTCCCCTGCCACCCTCACTGCAGCACGGTGCCCCCTACTGAGTCTCCAAGCTCCCTGCAGACCAGTGCCGCCTGCGTGAGCCCCTGTCCCATCCCTGCAGCACGGCAGCCTTTAATGATAGTTGTAGCCACCACAGCTGAGATTTCTCTCCCCAGCCCTGTTAGTAACTACACACTGTGAACGTTTCACAGGAGCAACAGAGGGTCCTGTGGCACCTTTAAGACTAACAGAAGTATTGGGAGCATAAGCTTTCGTGGGTAAGAACCTGAAGAAGTGAGGTTCTTACCCACGAAAGCTTATGCTCCCAATACTTCTGTTAGTCTTAAAGGTGCCACAGGACCCTCTGTTGCTTTTTACAGATTCAGACTAACATGGCTACCCCTCTGATAAGTTTCACAGCAGGACCATTAACCCTAAAGGATAAAATGATGTCACAGAGCTCACGGATTCCAGGACTTTCAGAGACCTCCGGGACATTTTCCACTTCAGCCCTGGGGCGCGCGGGGGGGGGGGGGGGGGGGGGGCGGCGGGGGGGGGCCGGGGGGGGCTGGGGGGCTGGGGGGGGTGTGTGTGTGTGGGGTGGGGGGAGACCCAGAGGAGCCTGGCAGTGACATAGGGCCCTGCGGCACTGCGGGCCCTGGAGCTGTCAGCCATCATGTGCAGGTGGTGGACGCCCCCACCCACAGCGGTGCTCGGGCTCTCTTCTCCCCCCACCGTGGGGCTTGAGCTTCAGTCACCCCCCCATCAGTCTCTCCCCCATTATTTTTGGTTATTGCCTGCGACCTGTCCCTGACTTTTACTAAAATTAACCGTGATAAAATCTTAACCTTATCCCCCATCACACTGTACAGGAGAGGGGAGGGGCCCTGAGGAATCATATGGCAACCACGTGGCCTAGTGGAGAGACCCCTGGACTGGGACTATCCCTAGCTCTGCCACTGGTCTGTTGGGTGACCTTGGGCAAGTCACTTCCCCTCCCCGTGCCTCAGTTTCCCATCTGTATAATGGGGATAATGATGTAAAGCTGTTTGAAATGTCCTGACGTACAGTACCATGGAACACTTCGGTGTTTTGATTATTACCTAGGCACAGTAGCATGGCAACTGCAAACCTAGGCGGGGACGACAGCTGTGTAAATGGCCATGAACTCCCACCGACAACCATTTCTCGTTCGGTTTAAAACACTAGGAAGTTAAATAGCAAAAACGTCATTGAGGCAGAGTTCAGGTTGCCCAGTGAGAGCTCCTGCCCTTCCAGAGCCGTGAGTTCAGCACAACTCCAACTTCTGAAAAGCTGGAAATAGAGTCAGGGCAAAGGCCCACATCACCTTAGCTCTGCCCCCTTTGAGCGATGCCCCCTGTGCTCAGAACATGCCCACGCCCACTCTGCCTGGTCAGTGTTATTCACTGGCGCTACCTGCACTTGTCCTATGCTCAGACACTGACCTGCGCCCCGCCAGAACACCACACCTGTAACATTCAAACCACGTCAGCCCCTTTTCCAGCCCCGTCACCCTAGCACCCAGGATAGCACCTAGACGTGTCCTTTCCCCTGCTCATCACTAAACGCACAGCCTGCGCTCATCTCCCACCTCTCCGCTGACAGTCCCCGTGCCCTGCTACTGACCCAACCTGCTCAATTCTGTATAGAAACGATGCAGACTGGAACCTCGTTCCTTTGATCACACACCTGGGGGAATCAGACCCAGATCTCCTCAGATCTCCATCACAGTTCTCCTAATTGGCTCCAGTTTATTCTTCCCCCATTCAGGACAACTGCACCTCATACAGTGACTGCAGCTGGAGTTCACACAGACAAGTCCCAGTGGCTACTGGCAGTGCC